GGGCGTGTGCAGGCGTGTGTCTGTGCCATCATTTCCACAGGCAGGCCCCAACGAGCGAACCGTCAGGTCTGCGTGTTGCGTCCTTCGCCGTCTGTCCCCCCTGTGTGGCCCCCGCTTCGCTTTTCCCCACAAATAGCTTAAGGTCTTCACAGAAAGACCTGCCGTGGCAGCATCTCCACCGCAGACCCGCGTGGCCCCGGCCTGTCCTGGGGTGGTCGGGTTCCTTTCTGTACCTACGTTTCGGAGGGCTCCCTCCCTGAAGAGAGAGCCTCTCCCCAGAACTCTCCGGGCCGAGCACGGATACACCCTCGTGCCCATCCCCACAGCGCGAATGCACAGAGCCCAGCCTCCAGGGCCACGTCCTGAGTCTTGTACTTGGGGCTGTGGCAGGGTGGTGTCCCTGGGGTGGTGGCGACGGGGACAGGGAGGGCGCCACCTGTAGCTGTCGGACAGCTATGTCTGTGCGAGGCGGCCAGGGCTCCCCGCCCGCTGTCCAGACTCCCCTACTTCCCGTGCACAGCACATTCTTGCATGGGGCTGCCTGACTCGGGGTGTCCGCCAGCCCATGCAGAGAAGGGCCCAGGCTATGGGATGGGGGCAGCCATCTTCCTCCACATCCTGAACCACCTGTCCGTGACATGTGGCCGGCCAGAGAGACCCCGGTGGCAGCAGCGCAGGAGCCCTGACACTGGAGGGGTCACCTTCACGTGCACTTCCTCAGTTACGTGTCCCAGACCCGGCACCACCTCACCATGCAGTAGGAACCCGAGGCTGTGACAATGGCATTCGCCCTGCCCGGAGTCTTGTGCGTGCTGGGATGGGGCACCCTCAGCTGGCCTCACCCGGTTCACCGTGCTTTCGGCTGTATCTCAGCCCTGCTCATGAACGGGCCACTGAGCTCCGGTACAGCTCTCCTGTGTGAGCCGAGAGGATTCCCGCAGCTCCAGGGGCAGAAGCCAGCTGGGGCCTGGAATGCTGGAGAACCATGGCCATCAGAAGGCCCCAGGCAGCAAAATCCTGGCAGGCTGCCTGATCCCATCTTGGAATCTGGAAGGACCCATGAGGACAGGACACATTAAAAGCATTTAGTCTAGAAAAGCTAGGCCTCAGTAGGAAGGGGGTCTTGTGTCTCAATGTGGCTACTCCACCCTCCCCAGCTCCAAGGAGCACAGCTGTGAAAACCGATAGGTTGTCATGTGTAAAGAGGTCATGTGTGTGACAACAGCACACGGCAGGAGCAGGGGAGGACGTTCTAGCAGGGCAGAGTGTCCCGGTGTTGTCGGGACCAAGCACTCATCTGAAGGAGATTGTTTTGAGTAAGATACGTATTGTAATCTCCAGAGGAACCACTTAGGAAATAACTACTTCACTCATGCACACACACACACACACACACACACACACACACACCAAAAGTCAAAAAATGCGTTTCAGTGATACACGGGGAGTAGACGTGGAACACCCAGGAGGGCAGGAATGGAAGAGCATGGGAACACCCCAGCCGCGACGCCAGAGATCCCACGTGGGAAGCACACGGCGGAGCCAGCTGACTCAGTGTGCCAGATCACAGTAACGCCGAGGGACTGAGCACACCAGTAAAGATGGGGGACATTGTCAGGCTGACTTCAAATGAACAAATGGTGTTCAATAATCTACTGCCCCCCAAAAAACGTATTTTAGATGTAAAGACACAAGTAGGTTAAAAGTAAAAGCGTGAAGAAGAGACATCCTGCGCTGGGAGTCGTGAAAGGCGTGACGCGTTTTTGCATCGAAAAAAAGAGAAGAAGAATACGTAAGGCTTCCCCAACAGCCAAGTAACGAGTGACCGAAAGCGATCTGAAGTAGCTATATTAGTGTCAGACAAAATGAACTTTTAAGACAAAAAAAGGTACTAGAGGCAAAGAGAGTGATCGTTTTTCTTTTTATTATTATGAAGTGATGAAAAGAAACACAATAGGAAGATTTAACAAGTGTGAACATTTACACATTACAACAAACTCCTATAATGCATGAAATAAAAGCTGATAAAATTGAAGGGGGGGTAGGCGATTCAATAACAGTAACTCAGTGGCACCGGCAGCTGGCGTGGGGGTTAGGTGCTGGCCTCCCACACGGCTGACAGCAGTTGGAGTCCCAGACCTGGCGGCTTCAAAGTCACACCAGGCACGTGGATGCTCACAATCCCAGAAAGAGCGTGGAGGAGAGGGATTGCAACATGGCCACCCCACCCCGGGGCGACTTCTTACCTTCCCTCTTCCTCTGGCAAGCAGATATACCCTGTGGCAAAAACAAACAAAAATCTTAAAAAAGAAACAAAATAAGAATAATAGCTTAAGACTTGGATACATTACTCTCGATGGCGGTGTAGAAGAACCAGGTAGAAAATGGCAGAACTTCGCCCAGCTTGATCGACAAGGCGTGGCAGGGGCCGAGTGCTCCCCGGGCAGACTTCCGACTCAGCCATGAAGCAAGCCTTAGTGCGTTTAAAATACTAGTCCTGATTACAATGGAATTCAATTAGAAATCAGTAACAGAAACGGGAATTTCACAAGTGTTTGGAAATTAAACAACACATTCGAAAATATTCCGTAGTTGAAATTTAAAACTACACGGGAAATTGGAAAATATTTTTACTGACTGCAAATGAGATTAGAGCATATCGAAGTCCCTGAGGCAAATCTGTACTATGGATGGGTGTCTAGCTTTAAATTTCTGTGTTAGAAGAAAATATTTCAATTCAATAATTTTTTTTTATTTACCAGTGGGCACATGCTCTCGCCAAAGAGAAAGGGGGAGCATTTACCCACCCCACAGGGCATGGCCGAGCCTTAGCCCCTTCTCCGTCCTGTCTGCCTGTGGGGACTTGGGGCACGCATGCACATGTGCTTAGCATGTTTTTCAACCCAACAGGTCTGAGATTCAAAACATGTGGTTGGCCATATGGGGCCCGGCTCTCTTAACCTCCAGGTCATGAGTTGGCCCTCAAATCAGTCACCTAAGCTTTTCCCTTAAACAATCTTTAAAAAGAAGCGAAGACTAAAGCCAAGGTGGACAGAAGACAGGAGATAACAGAGGCGAGAGAACACAATAAAACGGAAAGCCAGGAGAAGGCCAGGGAGCCCCAAAGGGAGCTTTGAAAGCAACAATAAATTCGATGAAAGCTTTCATTACTTTGATGATGAAAAGTCAGAATAAAAATGGGACATTACCACTGATTCCCTCAGAAATTAGAAAAATTATAAAGTAATACTATAAAAAACCTTTTACCAATATATTTGACCACCTAGATGAAATGAAAAATTCTTAGAAAGACAGTTACAAGAAGTGTGAGTAGACCTTGCTGCTGTGGGTGTGTGTCCCCCCTGAACTCAAGCTGCTGCTTGGCACTCGGTGGGGTGGGCGGCGTTGGGGTCTGGGGCCTCCCTGCCCCTTCTTGTGGGAGCAGGCTCTCGTAGAAGCGATGCCCCCCGAGGTGGCTCCTTGCACACGCCGTCCCCTCCTCTCCACAGGTCGGGACGTGGCACGAGGGCCAGCCTCATTCTGGGCTTCGCAGCCCTTAGCAGCAGGAGTCCAGCTCAGGGTCGTTCCCGCGGGCCGGCTAAGGCAGACCTACAGCACGCAGAGAAAAGAAGGCGATTTCAGGCCTCCCCTCGAGAAGGGCCCAAGCCCACACAGTTCCACTGGTGAAAGCTATGAAGCATCAGGAGAAGAGAGCACAGTGTCAGGTCTCTACAAACATCCAGAAAGTGGGAGAAGGAATGCTCTCCAGCTAATTCTCTGCGGCCAACCTAACCCTAACACGGAAGTCAGATAAAGGCGCCACCAGGGAAGGAACTCTAGACTAATTGCTTTTATGAACAGAGACAAAAACCTACAAGAAAATACTAGTTAATTGATCTAACGGCGTGAAGACGGGCTGTTCACTAGGAGCGGGGTTTGCCCAGCGCCGCGGTCAGCTGATCGAGAAATGCAAGTCTTGAACCTATTCACAGAACAGAGGGCGTGGCTGCACAGTCCGAGGAGACAGTGTGTAACACGGCTCACGCCCCGCAGGAGTAAAGCTGTCCACACTGGGACAGGACAGACGGGCGCTCCCAGCCCGTGGAGCCCCAGGGGACGCCGCGCCCTGTGGTGCAGACGGAAGCCCTCCACCAGAGCAGAAGCCAGGTGGGACGCCGCTCGGCAGGGGCCGCTCAGTGTGGGGTTCGAGGTTCCAGGCGGGGAGAGCACCGGCAGCACCCAGACGGGGGCAGAGGTGGAAGTTGGCACGACGGTGTGTGGAGGGCCTGAGAAAGCCGGGAGTTCAGAGGGAGCCACCGTGAAGGCCGGGGAGCTCAGCAGGGCTGGGAGACGCAAGGCCGGTACGAGGCGGTTGCTTCTCTACATATGTAAAGTCCCAAAGTGAAATCGGGTCACAGTCCCATTTACAATAGCCTTAAGAGTAAAATACTACTGAGTAAATGCACGAGCGGGATTAGAAGTAAAGGATTCATACCCGAGAAATGAGAGCATTGCCGAGAATTCAAGACCTGACTGCACCAAGCGACGCCGGCTGCCCGTGATGGCCGCCAGGGCGGCGCGTGTGTGGCCTTGCTCAGGCTTGGCTGTAGAACAGCGCCACCTCTGCCTCAGCACCAGCTTCTCCGCTTGTCTCAGAAAATCGACACGATCACACTAAAATCCGTACAGAGCTTCAGCGACCCAGAAGAGCCGCAACGATTCTGAAATCGGAGAGCAAAGCTGGAGGACTCGGACGTCTGGGTTTTAATGAGGCTGTGCGACTGGCAAAGACGTGTGGGTACGGGCACAGAGCTGAGGACCCAGAAACACACCCAGTTTACCCCACGTCTGCTTCCGAAACAGTGCCCGGCTTAGCTGGGCGGAGGGGAGCTTTCCAGAGAGGCTGGACAGTGGGCGCCTGCGTGTGAGGAGGTGAGAGGGGATAAGGGGGAGCATCCTCAAGACTGCAGATTCGGCAGACTTCTTAGACACCAAACCAGTTCATAAACACGTGGTAAATCAAAACTCAAGGCTTTTAGATGCCATTAAGAAAGCGAGAAGACCGCGGCGACCGAGATGGTATTTCCGACAGCCGTGTGAGCGGGGCCGGCGCCCAGACTGGAAGGAGCGCCCTCACTCCGAGAGTGACTCGGGGCTGAAGACGCACTCTTCTCCAGAGAGGATGTGTGGGCGGCCAGCGCACGGGAGATGCCCGCCAGCTGGCGTGGGGAGGTGAGCGAGGCCCCAAGGAGACCGGCTGGGCAAACATGGGCATTCCCGGTGGGCTGTGAGATGGCGAGTTCCCGAAAGCTGAAACACTGACCAGACGGCCCAGCGGTCCCACATCCGGGTACCTCCTGGAGAGGCACAGACACACGTCCACACGAAGGTTTTGCACACACGTGTTCTTCAGAGCACGTCATGGTGTGTGCAGAGCACTGAAGCCACTGCTGTGCCCAATACCTGCCGGGTAGATGGCACAGTGGGGCACGCCCACAGGAGGACGTTGCGCCCCATGCCAAGATACAGCCCAAGCTGGACCCTTGGTGCTCAGTGGAGGAGCCAGACACTGAGGGCCCCATCTCCTGAGGTCTCTGTATGAGATGCCCACTTAAGGCGAGACTCTGGGAGCAGGAAACGGCCTGGCCTGGCGAGCAGGTGGACAGGCATGGCAGGAGGTGGGCATGAAGGGGCCTCTGGGGGATGGAAATGCCCCCAGACCAGCCTAAGGTGAAGGTCACAGGCCCGTAAACTCCCTTGGAGACCAGAGCAGTGCACCTGGCGGGCAGCCCCCTGGCCCCAGGACAGCTGCCCTGAAGTCGTGTGGGCCGGGCCACAGGGTAGGGTCATGGCACTGCCCCCTGAAGCCAGCTTGAGTGCTGCGTTAACTGGAGAGGCTGGGGTCAGGGCAGCTGGTTCGCACAGCACCAAACTCCAGGGCCTCCCTCGTCAGACACACCTGGAGGCCAGTGGAACGGGCGGCTGTGCCTGCAGAGGGCAAGGGCTCTGGAAGCTGCCACCCTGGCCTGGTGGTTCCTGTTCCCTAGGCCAGGCTCTCAGACCGTGAGGTTCTGGACTGGGTCCACGGTGCTCAGGGCTTGCTCTCTGCTGAGGCTGGCAACGTCTGCTGGGCAGGGCCAGGCCCGGGTGCCTGCCCTGTCCTGTCACGGCCCATTCGTTCCTGAGGAGGGCCCGGCTGCCCATTCTCTGCCGTGCCAGAGCCCAGCAAGCTGTGTTCTGCCTGGGCAGCCCATGGCCGCACCTGAGGCCAGCACAGAAACACTGTCGGGGGTTCAAGGCCGTGGCGTGGGCCATGGCGGCCACGGGCCATGTCCTTCTGGGAGCGCTAGCACAGCTCTCCTCTCCACAGCAAGAACACACCGAAGCTGGGCTTTGGCGGGGAGCCTGTGCGCTCACTTTCACTGAGTTAAGGCCTAGCTTGGAGGCATGCACTTGGGCAGCCTGAGGCCGCAGAGCTCTCCATTCCTGCCTGAGGCGTGGATGCTGGAAGGCCCTAGCCCCTGTGGTTTGCTGCTGGCCCAGGGTCTCCCTGCCTTCCAGAGGAACCACACTTGCACACATCAGGGGTGAGAAAAGTGCATCCCCTCTGAGCAGGCCCTTGGGGGGCCTGGGGACCCCACTAATCAGGACCTGATACCGAGGACAATGCCCGGCAGTGGCCACTCCCCCTCCCTAGGCGTTATCTCGGCTGGGCCATGTGGCCAGGCTGTCTTTGTTGGGGAGGGGTGGCAGTTGGGGCTCTGTCATCAGGAGTGGTCCCTGCGCAGAGGGCGGTGGCATTATCCTCCAGCCGCTTCCCTCCCGGGGCGAGGTCCCGCCCTGTAGCTCTATCGGGGCTGCCAGAAGCTGTTGCTGCAGACAGGGCAGGAAGCGGCCTGGACAGCCGCCGAGCTGCCCCCTCTGACTGCCGGCCGGGCTCTGCTCGGCACCCCTGGGGAGGGGAGAGTCAGGTGGGGGCTGCGGGCTCCTGGGGCAGGTTCAGGGGGCTCCTCTGCTTCCTGCTCTGACACTTGGGCCAGAAAGCCCCTTCCGCCTCCCCGTGGCTCTCAGCCCACACGCGTCTGTCTGTGGCTTGGTCCGCGGCCTGGGCCGGCTCTCTGCAGACTGCTCCAACAGGCTTCAGGGTCACCAGCAGAAGGTGCGTGTGCAGCTCACGGCAAGGCGGACACGCCTTCCTGCCCCAGCCCAGCCAGACCCTGCAGTCCCCACGTGGTGTGAGGGGAGGGAGGGGGTGCGGGCATTCTTCCCCCAGACGTCCCTGGGGACTGAGCCAGGGCCTGGGGATGTGGGGTGTGAGAGGTCCTCGTGCCCAGCCCAGCTGGGAGGGGACGTGCTTGTCATGAGGGGCTGCTGCTGGCTGTGGTGGGCTCCTGCCTTCGCGGCGGCAACCCAGGGAACCCCCACAGAGGCTGCCGCCAGCTGGCCGCAACCTCTGAATGTGGCTCAGACGTAAATGCAGCTGTGCGACAAGTCAACTGGTCCACGCACGGGGGACCTGGAGCAGCAGCTGGCCGGCGTGGATCATTTCTGGGCTCCCTGGCCCCAGCACAGCAGAGCCATTTCCTCTTGGCAGAAGGCTGAGCGAAGAGGCGGGTGCAGGAAATGAGGTGGCAGGGCTAAGGCCAGGGAACCAGCATCGGGGCCACGCCCACAGAGCAGCCGTTAGCCCGGTGTTCAGGGTGGCTGCAGGAGAGGCATCGCCTTCGAGCCTGTCCGAGCCTGGTGTGTGCTCCCCGCCCACCGCTGCTCTTCTGTCTGCGCGCTGCCCCGCCTGCCCCCACCTCTGTCATCACCCCCTCAGCGTGGCCTTCGCTTTCTTGCAGCTCTTTGCTCAGATGGAAACGGCGGTCTCCCCGGGATTGTGTGCCAGCCCTCCATCTCTGCGCGGTGTCCCGCCGTGACGATGTGGAACTGAAGTGTCACAGTGCAGCGGCAGATGGGAAGTGGACGGTCTATCAGTTTAGCGAGCATCTTTCTGGGGACATGGGGTCTCCCTGAGAGCCTGGACTCAGAGCGAGTTTGGTCGTGGCCTTCACGTGGTACCTGCGTCCCACCCCCAAACTGCTCTACCTCCGGCTTCTCCCTGGACTCAGAGTGAGTTTGGTCGTGGCCCTCATGTGGTACCTGCATCCCACCCCCAAACTGTTCTACCTCTGGCTTCTCTCTGTCCTCAGGGCCAGATGGAAATAGGGCCACGACTGTGGGTCCTACTGTGTCGACGGCCACCCTGTGCTGAGCACAGGGCAGAGCCACCTGCTGCCCGCATCCACAGACCTGCAGGGCTGGCGCCAGAGGCTGGTCGGACTAGCTGGCTCAGCAGGGCACAGCGCCGTGGGGGCTCGGTCTGGCCATGAGCACTGGCACGGGTGGGCCAAGACACGCAGCACATGGGAGGGTGAAGAGAGGAGAGCGGGCAGCTACGCAACCCTCTGGGTGACTCCGGAAAGCCCTGCAGTGTCACTTCTGGACAGCCAATGTGGACGTTACGAAGAACTGCCTGCCCCTCACAGCAGCCCTGTGCTCCAGGAGCGCCTTCACAGGCATGGGGGTCTCCTTCTAACCGGCTTTGATGGTTGTGGTGACGTGGCAGTCCCACGGTGGCCGACAGCACATCTGACCACAGCCCGCCTGCCCACGTCCCAGCATAGGCAGACCGCGGGCAGTTACGGGCAGGCCTGGGACTCCCGAGGCCGGCAGAAGCTCAGACCCTGCGGCCTGGCCGGGCTGCCGCCTCCCCGTGACACGCCTGGCTGGGTGCTGTCAGGGCAAGGCCGTTCCCCGTGAGCACGGTCTGGAGCCCATGCGAAGCTGGCGGCTCCAGCCCCATCAGCACACGTGGTGCTGCTGGTCTCAGTTGCCATCTGGCTGCACGAGCGCTTGTTGTGAGCAAAGGTCTTTAGCGTGTCCTCTGCATGCGTGTTCAGCCTCTTCTCTGAAGAGATGTATGTGGATAGATGGCTGTCAGTGTCCGTGTGGTCACAGACAGAGGGGAAGGGAGAGGCGCCATGGGGAATGGTCCCCCGAACCCGTCCTCTTGCGCTGCTCCATCCTGCTGGGTCTGGAGCACACGCACGCACACGCACGCACGCGCACAGTGTTTTCCAGCTGCAGGCTCGAGGATTCAGACCGCACAGCCAGCCACGTGGGGTCTAGCTGCCTTAACCACCTGCCACGTGTTGGTGCCTGAATACTTGTTTTAAGGCTTCTTCAGAAGCCAAGTTTACATGAGCAGAGAAGGAATCATGCTGAATTTTCCGCGTGGAGGGCTCAGAGCCCTCGGGAATGAAGAGCACCCACAGAGCAGCGACGGGAGGTCGGCGGCAGGGCACTCAGCGGACCTGGCAGTGGATGCCCGGAGCTGGAGGGGAGGTCTGCCTGTACCGCTGAGGCTTGGGAAGAGACTGGCTCAACTCCTAGAAGGTGACGTGAAGCCAGCATTGTCCTGTGGCCTCAGGACCACACGAGGCCTCAGGTCTCTGGCCCCTGTGGGATTGGTGCAATCGGGAGAGCAGCTAAAGGCCGGGGAGTGGTCCGAGGTCCAAGGTCACAACTCCAGGCAGCAGTGAGCGTGTGGTGCCAGGTGGTGCCAGAGCAGCCAAGGCACGCGGGGGGCTTGCTTATGCAGGTGCGGGCCGAGAGCCGGTTCCCGGAAGGACTGCAGCGGGCTGCTGCACCATGCCAGCCGGCGACCTCCGGTCCGTAGGGGTCCCACAGGGCGGTGAGGGCCGACAAAGCTGGGACTGCCTCCCGGGGCTGCCAGGCTTTGGAGTGGCCGGCTCACAGGAGGACCTCCAGAGGTGGTTTGTGAGAACACGCCGGGCACTCCTGGGTGCCAGCCATGGTCTTGGCCAGGCCAGGCAGCATGCCCCGCGTTCTGGTAATCCCCCGGGAGCACTTTATCACACAAAGTCTATTAGAGCGCGTGCGAGCGGCTTCGGCTGATTCGATTAGCGCCCACGCTGCCCGGTGCCCGACAGCCCTGTGCACCGAGGGCGACCTCCGTGGCACCTCATACGCTTTGATGAATTGCTCATTATGGGCACTGTTGGAGCGGCCTCTGTAATGATTAATAATTGGATAATCAACACAAAAACTCAATCCTGGGGCTTCTCCCTGCAGGGTCAGCGTGTCCTGAAGACGGGACAGATCTCATTTGCTGCATTTTCTGACTTCACTCCCCACTTCTGTGGTTTTTCATGTTAGCAATTGTGAATGTGCACGTATGTACTGCATGTACACACGTGTGTGTGTGCCAGTGTGTGGATCTGTGCTGGGCCAGGCCCGGGTCAGGGTGCTCAAGACCACACGCTGTCCTTTGGTCAGGCCTCATGTGACCGTTCTGCTCAGTCGTCTCTAGAGTAAACGGGTCCTGCCGAGTCGCTGGTATCAACACGCACACTCTCACTCGAGGCGGCCTTGTCTGGTGGGCGGGGGCAGACAAGCACACTGCAGCCTCGCGGGGAGACGTGCACCCCCCACCCTTGTGCCCGGGGGGTCGGCACAGGCTCCTTCACCAGGAGGGCAGGAAGCCGAGAGCGGGCTGGGCACCTGGCTAGGCATGGGGAGGCCACGAGGCCCTGCGGGCCCAGGAAGCCCCTGTGAGACAGCGGAGTGAAGAGCTGTGTTGCTGTCGGCAAGACGGACCCGACGGGCAGCCTGTTGAAATCACATGGCATAGGAGCTTGTCTTCACCCACCATCCTGCCCGGCCTGCCTAGGGTCTGGCCTGTGACATGGGCAGGGCCTCGGGGCCACTGGGAGACCGGAATGCAGCAGGCCTTGACCGAGCAGCCGTTCTAGCGGGCCGCCTGCAAGGCCCACGTTCAGCTCTGGCCCAGCCTCCTCAGGCCAGACATGGGGTGTGCACGCGTGGTCTCGCTGACAGGACTGCCAGGCAGGGTCGGGACAGGGAGACTCCCATCGAGACCAGCAGTGGGACGCCTTCTGCAGTGCTGGAATCTGCATGAGGGCATGTGGTTGGTGGTTCACGAGCGTGTGGTGGCCTGGGTGGCCGCAGGGCTGGCAGGGGCTTGCGTTGCCTGGGGGCTGCCCAGGAGGCCCATTTCTCTCTTGCAGAGAAAAGGAATGTTTAAATAGTACTTTAAAAAGGACATTGCTTACAAATGGCGGCGAAAACAAAGATCTGTGTGAACTTTAATCCTTCCCCGATGTCCGCTGCCCCATATGCAGGGTCCACTCACTGAGCAGTGCCAACGGCCGAGCCAGGTGATAGCTTCGGCCCTGGGTGGGGGCCCTGGGGACCGCTGCACACCTGAGCCCCACACCTAGCTGGTCACGCGGGAGCTACCAGCCTGTCCTGCTCAGAACTGCAGGCAGGCTGCCCCAGCGGAGCACCTCAGTGGGGAGGGCTGTCCTGGGTCTGCCCCACTCGTCTGTGGTCTCACTCACTGCCCTAAATTCTGCCTCTCGTGACACTCCCGAGAAGTTCTAGGCTGTGCCCAAGGCTCAAGCAGAATGTCGTTTCTGGTCTTGTTTCAATTTAGAAAAAGTGAGTACAAAATCATTTCTTGAAGTATGGATGTCTTAAGTGTGTCCAAGCAGGAAAGCGTGCCCTTCCGTCCGTGGGTGTAGACATGTTGTCTGGCGGAACAGCTCAGGCCCCAGGCTGGTGTTGAGGCAGTTCAGCTCTGAGACAGGACGGCCGTGGCCGTGGCTCCTAGCTGTCTCCATCTTGCTCGGGCTCTTAGACACCCCGTGGCTACGGACCGGCTTGGGGGCGATGGAGCCTTGGATGCAGTGGGCCTGGGTGAGCTAAGCCCGCACAGGAGGGAGGGTGGGGTGAGGTGTTGTGCGGAACACAGGGCCCCCGGCTCTCCCCTCCCTGGGGAGCCTGTCCTGGCCCAAGCCCAGCCCCCAGTCCGTTGTGGCGTCCCCCTGCGACTCCCCAGTGCAGCCCTTATAAACTCCGTGCGTCTCCTCGCACGACCAGTGAGGCCGCCGCCCAGCCACACTCCAGCTCTGGGGCGAGCTGAGGGCTCCGTCAGTCACGCGTGACTGAGCAGGTGGCTCCATGTCCCCTGCCGTGGGGCCGGGCTCTCAGGCCACATGGCCTCAGTGACAAGCAGCGTCCTCCAGCCAGACCCAGCCCCTGTGTGCGTGGGCCGCGCTGGTTGGGGGGACATGCAACTTTGGACGGCCGGGCCCACCCATGCTTTCACAGCAGGAAACTGCCTGCTGGACCCGTCACCCTGAGCTCCCACCGGCCTCAGCTCGGCTCCCAGAGAAGGCCCTTGTGGCCCACAGCAGGGCAATGGCGGCTCACAGCAGAGCGCGGGCGCCAGGCCCTCGGCCCCTCTGCCTTGGGTTTTAGGCTAATAAAGAGGCCCGTGAAATGTTCGTTTTCGCTGATAATGCAGTATGAATAGGGATTTCACTATTGGGGTTACATCTTTCTTTTTTTAATTTTTTTTTCTTTTTTTTGGAGAGGTTTTTGCTATAGGATGCTAGACAGACAGAGAGAGACATAGAGACAGAAAGCAAGAAATCACCCCCCAGGGAGGATGGCCATGCCGCAATCCCTTCTCCTCCATTCTCCTCTCGGGATCTTGGGCACACACGCACACGCACCCAGCGTGAATTTAAGTCACCGGGTCCGGGACTCAAACCGCAGTCGACCACGTGGGACTCCAGCGACATAGCCATTACACTAACTGCTGGTTCCCCTTTCTAAATTTTTTTTTAAAAATTTGTTACAGGGTGAACGTGCTTGCCAGAGAGAGAGTACGAGAACAGCCCCAGAGGGGTGGCCACGCCTGCCATCCCTTCTCCACTCTCCTGTAGGGGTTTTGGACACACACGCACACTCGTGTGCATTTTTGAAGCTGCTGGGCCCGAGACACAAACCACACAGTCAGACGCATGGGGTCCAGTGCCTTAACCATGAGGCCACTGGCTGGCCCGGGAATGTTCCCCACAGCACAGAACAGCCCTGGGAAGTGGTGCAGCCAGGACCCCGCAGTCACTGGGCAGGGCTCCGGCCAGGCGGACTAGAATGGGGTCAGAAGCCCGCCCACCCGCCCGAGGCCAAGCCTGTCCCAGGTCCGGCTGAGCCCAGGGCCCCGCGCCGTGGAGCTGGACGCGGTATTTCCGGCTAATGAGGCAGGAGCGACCAGTGGGAAATTCAGATTTAACGGCCGAAGGTCCTGCACGAGGACGCAGAGTGCTGTCAGCGTGGCCGCGCAGTGGAGGGTCATGTTTTATTAAAGCCGTGACTTGCCACTCAGGCCCTCGCTGTCCCATTCTCTACTTCCAAAAATAGCAGGCCCCATGGCGGTGGCTTACTGTGATTAAAAAGATAAAAACACGTGAAGGCTGAGAGGGGTCCAGAACACCCGGGGCGATGTGAGAACTGACTTCACGAAATGAGAAATTGTATTATTTTCCACTGCTTCACAAACCATCTTTGAAAACAGCCCAAAAGGTAAGAAAAGCTGGTGACGTGGCAAGTCTGTGTTTGGGGGCCGAGGCTGCGGCAGGGTGGCCTGGCCGGCCCCAGCTCGTGGGTGCAGCCAGCGTCGGGGAGGGGGTATGCTGGCCACAGCCATGTGCCCCCGCACGAGGAGCAGTCCGTGCGATCAGTGCTTGCCTGTGGGGGAGGAAATGCCCACGCTGGCCCTTCTAAGAGGACACCCCCAGAGGCAGCTCTGTCGGGTGCAGCCTCTGAGCGGTGGGCACGGACAGGCACCCTCCAAGTGGAGCGAAGGCGTTTTCTTCCATGCCTCCTGTCTTCTGGTGGCTGGCCTGTGCTCTAATCGCTCCACGTCTGTACTCAGCCCACAACTACATCCATGCCTGGCCAGTGGAGACCTGGACGCCGCGTGTTCAGCAGCTCCCCGAGACGGCGAGAGTGGGCAGGGCACAGCGGGACGTTCTGTCCGCCTCGTCCAACTCCTAGGTCCCAGTGCTGACTTAGCAGGAGGGGTATGTTTTGGGGGAACTTTAGCAAATACTTGTTATAATTACCTCCCAGTTGCACGGATGAGGAAGAATAACTTTCCTATGGTGTTCTGCTCTCAAAAGGTTATTTTGGCTTTTCCTTCAAGATGAAAGCATGACTCGTCTGTGACGTCATGCGTCTTTCTCTGATATGGAGCGAGGCGCCCGGGCTGTTGGTGCCGTGTCTTCGTGGACAGTGTCTGGGCCGGCGTGAGCTGGGCTGGCAGAGGGTCTGCAGACAGCAGTGTGGGGCGTGGCCGGGAGACGAGGCGCCCGTTCAGGCCCCTTTCGTTTTGAAGACAGCGGAGACAGCCCTGCACAGCGCAGAGGCGGGCGCCCCCGCCGGGCAGCAGTGTCCTGGGCAAGCCTGCTCTTGCTGTCGGGGTGCCCACCCTCCGTTCCCGTGTAGGTGGCGTCCGTGTCGGAACTCGCGTGAAGCCTGAGACGAAGGGGGGCTGTGTCTGA